CTTCCATCTTCCTCCTCCTTCATCTTCCCTCTTCCTCCTCTACTTCCCTCTCTCCTCCTCTTCCTCCTCCTCCTCCATCTTCCCCTCCTCCTTCTCCATCTCCCCTCCTCTTCCTCCTCCAGGGTGGCCAGGTGCGTCAGGCAGGTGGATATAATAATTAATGCACCTGATTCCTTCCCCCACGACACTCTTCTCTTGACGGTACACCAACTTCACGGTACACTACAGGGGTACACCTCCCTCACGGTACACCATCACGGTACACCATTATTATTATTACTACCATTACTAAAATCTACCACCACTACCACCACCACCACTACTACCACCACCACTACTACTACTACCACCACCACCACTACTACTACTACCACCACCACTACTACCACCACCACTACTACCACCACTACTACTACCACCACCACTACTACTACTACCACTACCACCATTACCATGAACAAACACCAACTAAAACCATTGCCACTACTTCTAACACACCTACACACCTGAGACACACACACCTGGCACACACACCTACACACCTGAGACACACACCTGGCACACACACCTACACAAAAACAGCAGGCCAGGATCAAGCCGGATAGGGTAAATTCGGTTAATCTGGGATAATCCGGCTCTCTGAACGCGCGCCAGTAAGTGCTCCAGTCCTTACACCCGGCAGCGCTAAGAGGTCAAAATCCACGCGTTTAAGGGCTCGTCGCGCGGTGATTGGTCCTCCCATTCTCTGTTTGAGTCCCTGGATGATGACGTCATTTAAGTGTTTGTTTGTTTTTGTTCCTGTGTTTATGTCATGTTTTGTTGATGTTGAGTGTTGGTTAGGTTAGGTCAGGTCAGGTTAGGTCAGGTCAGGTCAGGTTAGGTCAGGTCAGTTTAGGTCAGGTGATGATATTTGAATTATCCTGGAACTCCACCCACACATCCTCACAACTCCCACCCGCCGCCCGCAACCTTCCACACTCCACCCGCCGCCCCCACGCCGCCCAACAACCTTCCACACTCCACCCGCCGCCCACACGCCGCCCACAACCTTCCACAACCCACAAAACCCTCAGTCTTTGGAGCCAGGGCGTGTATGTTGGCACTCTGAACGGTAAAACACACACACACACACACAAGCCGTCAATGTATGGTCCTGTTAAACCATTTGTCACTTACTTAAAACACCTATCAATTGCCCTATAACATGTCATCAGTCGAGTTTACGTGAGGGTGAAAGTTAAACAGCTGTCAGTTACTTACAACGGCTGTCAGTTGATGGGTTTATGTAGACACACCTAATATTGCTGTCAGTTACCTTAAAGAGCTGCCAAATGTAACCTAAAAAGCTGTCAAATGTAACCCCCAAAAGCTGTCAAAGTTCAACCTAAATAACAGCTGTCAATTACCTTAACACACCTGTAAAACACCAATTTAAAAAAACAGCTACAACACCCTAAAACACCTGTCAAATACCTACACTCTGGCAGGCAATAAGAACCCCCTTAGACAATAGAAAGGTTTGGTTTACCTTGTTATGGTTGGGTAATTCTAAACCTTGGGCCAAAGTTAGTGTTCCATGGCGCTGCAGGACATTCAGACTTTGCAGTTTGTCGACCAAATATCCCCCAATACTCCACCCACCCAAAGGCTCTCTATTTAACGAGGCTGTTTCAGTTAGTTTGTCGCACCAGCATGATTATTACCGTCACCTGTACTGTATTTACCTGAGTAATTATACTGAACCAGGTAATTTCTGTACCTGTGATTAATTAAATCTAACTATGTGTTGATGTTATTGTGTAGTTTAGGTCATAATTCTTCAGAGGTCAGAATTGTAGGTGGTCGAGTGGCCCTCTGTTCTAATAGGCCCTTGTTCTAATGGGCCCTAGTCCTAATAGGCCCGTGTTCTAATGGGCCCCAGTCCTAATAGGCCCCTAACCTAAGCTATAGTAACAATTATAGGTGGGTCATTGATAAGGTTTGATCAGGTCAAGTAAGGTCAGGTCAGGTTAGGTCATTATAAATAAATAAAATAAAAATTACCCCATCCACACCACCCCCCCCAGCACTCCATCCACACCCCCCCCCACACCCCCTCTGCTCCACTCCACACCTATGTACATATACACTAGAGAAGCCACATATATACATCGCTATACATATGTTGATGATGTGTATAGCGTGAGCCTTGTGCTTATTGGTCAGTGCTTTGGTCTTCCTCGCCAGCTGATTGGTTGAGATGTGAAGGCTGGTGGAACGTGATTGGTGAATGAAAGAGATGGGTTATGGAGAAGAGCTGTGATTGGTTGATTGGTGAGGTTTATTGTAATGGGGTGATTAATGATTTTGATGATGATTATAATGATGATGATGATGGAGAATTATAATGACGATAATGAGGAGAAAATGTTAACAAACTGTACACATAAGGGTCAAAATTCCCTGAACAACAACAACAACATCCCCTTACCTTCCAAACCTGAAGGGGGAGGGGAGAAAACAATGCTACACCACTAGGTGCTCATAAGGGTGAAAACACCATAGATTACAGCAGATATAAACAACCCTATTCATAACTAGACTATAAAGGGGACAAGACAAGGCTACAACAATAGATAGCATTAGGGGTTAAAATCACATTGTAGTGAGGTTCTATAGTCGACCATCTAGACCAACTGGTGGTAAGGTCCTTGTTGCTCTGGGGAAGGCTATTGTCCTCGGTTTGATTATGCCTCTTGTTGTGTTGTAATGAATCCTTAATGCCCATATTAAATGCCTCCATTGTCATGCCAAACAGGTGGGGGGGGGGAGCACGGCAGTGATGTCCAATGCACCAATGTTGTCCGGGGAGGGGGAAAACCATTGTACTGGTTTGATAGAAGGTACAGAAATGAAAGTTTTTCTCTCTCGGTACCAATGGAAAAGAAAAAAAAAGATTGTATTCAGGTCATTCTATTGGTATCGTCTCCAATGTTAGGTGACGAGAGAGAGAGAGAGAGAGAGAGAGAGAGAGAGAGCATCACCCCCAAACTGACATAAAAATCTTAACAACACTCCCTTCCTCTCACCTCTCCCTTCCTCTCACCTCTCCCTCCCTACCACCTATCCATCTCGCCTCCATCACCTGTCCAAACGATGGCCCTGCTCTTCACCTCCACCTACCTGAGAATTACCTGCGAACACCTCAATATCACCTCACTTCTCACGTAAACACACCTGTCACCCCCCCAATGACATGACTCTTTCAACACCCCTCCTACCTGTAGTCATAAATCACCCCCCTCCCTCACACCTTAACTTACCTGTTAATTAATTTATATCTCCCACCTCTTAACATCACGTGTGTGTAGGTATGTAAATCACCATCAATCACCATGAGTAAGGGAGCCCTGTGATTGGTCGAGAAGGAGGGAGGGAGACTCTGGAAAATGACGGATTGGTTACTCGACAAGTCCTTAGTTGCCAACGTTTATTTTTGTCGCGTCTATTTTTTGGTTCTTGAGGCTATAATTTCGTCCATCATACAAGATTGTCAACAGTGCCAGGCGTAGAGGGAGAGAGGGAGAGAGGGAGAGAGGGAGGGAGGGAGGAGTGTAGGGAGGGAGGGAGGGAGGGAAAGGAGGGTGGGGGGGAGGAGACAGGAAGGGAGTGGAGGGAGACGAGGATGAGAAGAAATGATATGAAAGAGTGTGTGAGAGGGAGAGAGATTGAATACCTGAAAGAAGGGAGGAGGAAGGAAGAGAGAGGGAAATATGCGGAAAAGTTGATGAACGGGTGAGAGAAAGAGGAAGTCAGTCTATTTCCAGCCAGTCTTTTATAAGTCTCTTTTCCAGACAGTCAGTTTTTCCACTCGGTCTCTTCTCCCAGTCAGTCCTTCCCAGCCAGTTCCCGGGGGTGTTGTTTAAGGGCGCCAACTACCTTGACGACCCTCTGGTGTTCTCTCTCTCTCTCTCTCTCTCTCCCTTTATGGTCTCTCTCTTTCTCTCCCTTTATGGTATTCACGAGTACACGTCTGAGCTCACACACACACGCCAGTAGATACACCGTGTACACCAGTAAAAACACCGTGTACACCAGTAAATACCCCGTGTACACCAGTAAAGCTCCACAAGAAACAAATTTGTGGCATCGTTGGAGCAGGTGTTGAAATTGGCGGGAAAAATTTTGGCGGGAAAAGATTTGGCGGGAAAAATGGGTGAAGCTGAAGGTAGCGTTTCATTTGGGTGGATTAGCGGTAAAAACTGTACTGGTAACTTTTTATATAATCTCCCACTAAGATTTACAAAGATATATTATGTGTGGATATTTGTGTGTGTACGTTTAATATCTGGCTAATTTATAACACATACATACATAAATACTGTACACACACACATATAATACACACAGATATACATACATACATACATATATATATATACACATAAGTATAACAACACAAGATCCTTCCTGTCAAATTTCATCATAATCTCCCAAACGATTCCGGAAAAAACGACAAATTTTAAAAATCTTCCCAAAATATCGCCATAACAACCAGACCCAACGACAGACCGGCACGAAATTCGGTCAAGTGATCGAGGAACAAGTGAAGATAAATCAAGATAAGTTTGATAAAGATGGGATGAAAGACGAAGGAATAATAACGAAAAGAAAGAATTGGCAGATATGGATGACTGATATGGCGACTGGGCTGGCTGGTGAGAGGGGTGACTGACTCGTGAGGTGGGTGACTGACTCGTGAGATGGGTGACTGGCTCGTGAGATGGGTGACTGACTCGTGAGATGGCTGACTGACTCGTGAGATGGGTGATTGACTCGTGAAATGGGTGACTGGCTCGTGAGATGGGTGACTGACTCGTGAGATGGGTGACTGACTCGTGAGATGGGTGATTGACTCGTGAGATGGGTGACTGACCCGTGAGATGGGTGATATGGCTGACTTTGATTCGTAGTGGTTGGTCAATTCAGGTGACCGTATATTTATTGTTCTTAAACTTTCAATGGGTCTTGATATATGTCAGCCATCTCACGAGTCAGTCACCCATCTCACGAGTCAGTCACCCATCTCACGAGTCAATCACCCATCTCACGAGTCAGTCAGCCATCTCACGAGTCAGTCAGCCATCTCACGAGCCAGTCAGCCATCTCACGAGTCAGTCAGCCATCTCACGAGCCAGTCAGCCATCTCACGAGCCAGTCAGCCATCTCACGAGCCGTCAGCCATCTCACGAGCCAGCAGCCATCTCACGAGCCAGTCAGCCATCTCACGAGTCAGTCAGCCATCCGAGCCAGTCAGCCATCTCACGAGCAGTCAGCCATCTCACGAGCCAGTCAGCCATCTCACGAGCCAGTCAGCCATCTCACGAGTCGTCAGTCAGCCATCTCACGAGCCAGTCAGCCATCTCACGAGCCAGTCAGCCATCTCACGAGCCAGTCAGCCATCTCACGAGTCAGTCAGCCATCTCACGAGCCAGCCATCTCACGAGTCAGTCAGCCATCTCACGAGCCAGTCAGCCATCTCACGAGCCAGTCAGCCATCTCACGAGCCAGTCAGCCATCTCAACGAGCCAGTCAGCCATCTCACGAGCCAGTCAGCCATCTCACGAGCCAGTCAGCCATCTCACGAGCCAGTCAGCCATCTCACGAGCCAGTCAGCCATCTCACGAGCCAGCAGTCATCTCACGAGCCAGTCAGCCATCTCACAGTCAGCCATCACGAGCCAGTCAGCCATCTCACGAGTCAGTCAGCCATCCACGAGCCAGTCAGCCATCTCACGAGCCAGTCAGCCATCTCACGAGTCAGTCAGCCATCTCACGAGCCAGTCAGCCATCTCACGAGCCAGTCAGCCATCTCACGAGCCAGTCAGCCATCTCACGAGCCAGTCAGCCATCTCAGACTAATCACGAGCCATCAGCCAGCCCAGGCTTGTGAGTGTTGGCTCAAGGTTGTTATTGTCACCTTATAGCACTCCAGGGTACTGTAGGAGGAGAGAGAGAGAGAGAGAGAGAGAGAGAGAGAGAGAGAGAGAGAGAGAGAGAGAGAGAGAGAGAGAGAGAGAGAGAGAGAGAGTCTATTGTCTTCATTTGCAGTTGTGACGAAGATGAGGGTCGGGAGGGGAGAGGGACAGGGGGAAGGAGAATTGGAGAGAGGGGAGGGAAGGAAGGGGTAGAGGGGGTGGGAGGTTATGTGATTATGGGGGTAGTGGTAGAGGAGACGTTTACATGCTGGTAGTAGGGGGGGAAGAGGGGAGGTGGGGGGATCTTGATGAGGGTGTGGGGGGTGGGGGTTGTTGGTAGAGTATATACCCAGGCAGTGTGTGTGTGTGTGTGTGTGTGTGTGTGTGTGTGTGTGTGTGTGTGTGTGTGTGTGTGTGTGTGTGTGTGTGTGTGTAGCTTATTTATGATCGTCACTACACCACCACCTAGCCTTACAGAACTCAATGCCAACATATTAAGAACTTATAGAACACTATCACCATATTCGCCTATTTCCTCTAATTAGTAGAGTGTACCCACCTCTACCCTCTCTCTCTCTCTCTCTCTTTCTTACTAATTCCCACCCTGAACTCATAAACTATTACCACAAAGCACACCGGTAGCTGTCATGGTGGAGGGTAATGGTGATGGTGGTGATGAGGGGTAATGGTGGTGGTGGTGATGGATAGTGATGGTGATGGAGAATAGTGTGAGGGAAGATAGATGGTGGTGATGGTGTTGATAGTAATGGAGGATATTACATCAACACCACCATCATCACCATAAATGTGTATTTCTCTCTCTCTCATTTCTTTTCGTTACGTCACCGTTTCCCGTTTTATTTCACTACCTCCGAATTCTTTTATTTTCTCATCGTGCTTCTTTCCTTCTTTACCCACCTCCTTCCCCTCACCCTCACTCACCACCCTCCCCAGCACCCCAGCACAAGCAACATATTTCCACTGTAGTAAATTCTTAAAAATAATTGAGTAATGACCTGGACCTCGGAGGCTGCTGTCACGACTACGGTGTTGTCTATTTAAGGATGGGCGTGTGGGCGTGGGGTGGGCGGCGGTGAGGGTGGGTGGTGGGCGTGAGGAAAGAGAGGAGGCGTGTAGCTTTTTTTATTGCACACACACACACACACACACACACACACACAGAGGGATACCTGTGTTTGAACTTAATGACAGGTATATTAATGAGTCTAATTTAATTATGTTTTTTCACCTTGACAACACTAGGTTCACCTTTGGCTGCTATACTAGTTAACCTTCAATTTACCTGGTGGGTGTACAACTCTCCCCCTAATAGTTTACTTTCAGGGTATCCAAGAGTCTACCCTCAGAAATTTACCTGACAAAGATCTTACCTGGTAGCTATCCCAAAGACCTGAAGGGGTGACTAATTCCTATTCATCTACCCAAGGTTTACCTCCAGTGCACCTGTAATAGGGTTCCAGCATCTTAATTGTACATAATACCCTAAATTGGATAGAGCCCCCCCACGGTCCCAACTTGGGCCCCAATTACGGTAACTCTATCGGTAAAAATCCCCAGCTTGGAATCCATCTCAAGTTAGGCTCCAATTACTTTCATGTGAACAATGGAAAACCCAACTTGAAGCAATCTGGAGTTGGGTTTCAATCACCTCCAAACTGAACATACAAAACCCAACTTGAATTTCCTCCGCATCTGCCACTCCTTACCTCCCACCCCCCGGCCCCATGATGTAGGATACTCCTCACTAATATCCTAATCCTACGAGGGAGTCCCTGGGATTACGACGACATACATTAGACCCCAGAGATCCTATTAAAGCCTATTTATTCTGACACACGAGGAGGAGAGGGAGGAGGAGGAGGAGGAGGAGGAGGAGGAGGAGGAGGAGGATGAAGACGGGGAAGAGGAGGAGGAAGAGGAAGAAGAGAAGGGGGGAGCGAGGAGGAGGAGGAGGAGGGTACTGTCACAAGAATGAAATTATTATTATTATTTTATTATTATTATTACCAACCACCCCCACCCCCCACCACCCCCCATCATTGTAGCAGCCAGACCCCTCCCCCACCTCAGCTGTTTCCGCGTCATAATATACACCGACTGCTCCCCGCTACACACGGACGCATTAATTATTCTCCGAGGTAAATCTTCGACCACTAACCCACGCCTTAACTCGGCTCCTCACACATTATTATTGCAGGTTTTAATCTATTTCAATACAGGTGATTTCTGGGGCTTTATTTGGTGGTGGTGGGAGAGGATAGGTAGAAGGACAGAGAGAAATAGGTAATGAATGGATAATACACACAGAGAGAGAGAGAGAAAAAAAGAGAGAGAGAGATTCTAAAAAAAAAAATTATTCTAGTTTACACATTTTTACCTGGGCTGAACTTGCAGGTTAATTGAGTGAAGTGTACAGGTATTTTGTGACGTAATACAGGTGTTTTGTGACGTCATATGTAAAGGTACCACTCGCTACACCCCTGATACACTGCCTGACGCCACTACACCCCTGTCACTTGCTACACCTATCAACCACCACTACCACAATTACCACCACACCCCCACCACTATCACCACCACCACCACTATCACCACCACCACACCCCACCACCACTATCACCACCACCACCACTCACCACCACCACACCCCACCACCACTACCCACCACCACCACTATCACCAATACCACCACCACCCCCCACCACCACATCCAAACACACCCCCACCAACCCCACTATCACCAACACCACCAGATAATGATAATAAAAATATGATAACGAAGATGATGATGATGATGATGATGATGATGATGATAATAATGATAATAATAATGACAAGAACAGTCGGTGTTTTCAACCAAATTACGATACTGTCTGTCTGTCTGTCTGTCTGTCTGTCTGTCTGTCTGTCTGTCTGTCTGTCTGTCCCAGCTAACTCGCTACACAAAAGCAGACAAGACAAAGGGAACTGACATTGTTGCTGACAAGTGCCGGGCGAAGTGTTTGAACACCATTACTGCCTGTCCTGGAGTTCGTCCGCCAGAGTCACACACACACACACACACGTCAGTGAAGTTGTCAAATCCTCCAGTTTCCGTCTCCACCTCCTCCGCCGACTCAAGTCCCTCGGAGTTCCTGCACACGAGCTCCTCAGTGTATACACAACATTCATACTTCCCAAGCTCACCTATGCCTCCCCCACCTGGTCTTCCTCCCTAAATGCCACACAACGTAAACACCTAGAAAAAGTGCAAACAGGGCATGATTATTCTCTCCTTCCTACTCCACATATCAAGAAGCGCTCAACACACTGACCCTTTCGACTCTCACTGACCATCACCACGACCTCATCTGCAAATTTGGTAAGAAGCTTCTACACCATCCCCGACACCGGCCCCTACTACCACCTGAGATCCCTTGTCCGAGAATTGCTGTTCGACACCACAACCGCATCCAGCCCATACGTGCACGAACTGATCGCTATAAGAACAGCCCAGTCCCAACCATTAAAAATTATCAATAACTTGTAATAACCGTATTCACCGCAAACACTACTCCTTGCACTGTCACTATGTTGAAATGAACTGTAGTTTGAGCTTTTCCCATCTAGTTATTATATGTCTTATTTGTGTCACTTATGTTACTTGTATATTATTTGTAATTCGAAACCCATTCCCAAATATGTAACTGTATATTTTCAGCCTTCTCGCCAAGCTCTTCAATAAACCGTTAATATTATTATTATTATTATTATTATTATTATTATTATAACACACACAGTCCACGCATAGGCAGAGAAGCAACTTAAGAGAGGAATGCTTTGTGTGTGTGTGTGTGTGTGTGTGTGTGTGTGTGTCGTCCAGGCTGGTCTCTGTGGTCGTTTATGCTGGCTAACGCGACCATCACCTGTCAGTTTGTCGCTTACAAGTCGTTTACCTGTCAATTACCCTGTCGCTGAGGTGTCTGTCTGTGTGTGTCTGCCTGTCTCTCTGTCTGTCTCCACTTGTGTTACCTGACGGTGATTTAGTGTACCTGTCGCTAATGAGTTTACCTGTGGCTACTAAGTTTACGTATACTTAATAATAATAATAAAATAATAATAATAATAATAATAATAATAATAATAATAAAACAACAATAATAATAATAATAATAATAATAATAATAATAATAATAATAATAATAATAATAATAATAATAATAATAATAATAATGATGATGATAAGGAAAGGAAGGCGAAGACCAGGTGAGGGAGGAGAAGGGAGAAGAGATGAAGGGAGGAAGAGGAGGAGGGGGAAGGGGGGGAAGAGGAGGAGAAGATAGATTACACCTCCTCCACAGTACCTCACCTCTCACCTCACCTCACTTAGGTAGAGCTTCATATGAGGTAAGTTAATTAGCTCAGGTAAACCGGTTCCCAGGTGTGTGTGTGTGTGTGTGTGTGTGTGTATGTGTGTGATATACCTTACTGTGTATACTATAAAACATGTACGTACAATCCAGTTATGTATGAGGTGTGTGTGTGACTGTTTCTTGTTGGGTGTACATGTGAGTGTATTTGTGACGGTGTGTGTTGACTCCAACATGTATAAATCATGTACGTTTCACCAGCACCCGCGTCGTGTCGTAACCTGGTTTATTAATCACACACACACACACACACACACACACACACACAACACACACACACACACACTTTTTAACGCGTCACATGAAATGGTCAGAATTGGTGTGTGTGTGTGTGTGTGTGAGAGAGAGAGAGAGAGAGAGAGAGAGAGAGAGAGAGAGAGAGAGAGAGAGAGAAAATTTGTTTCTTCTCTCTCTCTCTCTCACAAATATTGACACATCAGAATTACCTAAATTAAACGTGACAGCCTTTGGAGGGTTGAGAAGGAGGAGGAGAGAAGGAGGAAGGAAGGAAGGA